ACCGTCCCACGGACCCTCAGCAAGAAGAGCACAGCAGGTGTGCTGACAGTAAGCGGGGTCGGCCAAGAGTGCAGACGCCCCGGCTGGGCCTTAGGGATGGGCAGGTCTGCCATCCTAGCAGGACATCACGTCCACGGGCTGAGAGCAGTGGGGCCCAGCTCAGGCCTGGCTGCAGCTTGAGGGAGGCTGTGACAGCATCGTCTGGGTCTGACAGATGAATTCCTTCCCTAGAAGAGAGGAGAGGAACACCGCTGTCACTCGCAGGGCGCCATCAGCCCCTGAGCCCTGTCTCAGGCACGAGCTCAGCAGGAGGCACTTGACGTTTTGCTTTTCTCAACGGTGTTGTTGCTGCCCGGGGCACAGTGGGGAGAGGTGCCTGACAGGGAAAAGTCTGTCACTTATTGCTCACGGGGAGCGCTTTCAGCCCATCTTGTGGCGGGGACACAGAAGGACTGTTCCCAGCAGTGCTTTTGAGGCTGCTCTGCCTGTTCCGTAGTGGCACGTCACCTTTTACCGACTTCTCCGCTGGTTACTCGCATTCGTTGCCAAAGCGGCCGTGTTTCACACTTACGCTTGGCTTTGGAGGGCATCAGTGTAGAATCGCTCACTGCCTTTGCAGTGACTATTTTAGTCCAGAAGAGCTGAGAAAGGATGGGAACCTGAGGAATCCTGTCACAAATGATGTGAACGCTGTTCTTGCTGCAAAAGAGGAGCCTGGTTGCACTTTGTTTCTAGTACTGAGCCAGCAGTCCAAATGGCCACCCCTGTTAGAGATTTTCACAAAATTCACTGCCTTTAGATCACTCTAAGTTTCTTTTTGTTTTTTTTTTTCTTCTGTGTACAGATCGATGAACTTTCCCAGCAACTGGACATGAAATCTAAAAAATGCATGCAGCTGGAAGCCAAAAATCAGGACTTGCAAGAAGAGCTGTCCACTCTGCGTGGAAAGTGTGAAAACCTGGAGAAGAACAAATGCCAGCTGAAAGAGGAGGTGGCAAAACTCCAGCATCATTCAGACACTAACATGGTGGATCGTAGCCAAATAGAACAGTATAAGAGGGAGGTGGAAGAACGAGCTGGACAAGAAATAAGACAAAAGCTACAAGAAGTCAATCTGTTTTTGCAAGTAAGTGAATTTCTCACCTGTGTCCATAGACTTCTTATGGTCATCAGTTATTAGTGGTTTACTTTTGGTGCCTTATTCTATGTGATAGCACTGCACTTCTGTCTTTCCTGAAAGCAGTGGGAAAAGGGAATATGGTTGGGCAGGAGTGCTGTCACAGGTGTGTAATGTGCCGACAGGTCCGTGACTCAAAAGCCTGCCCAAGGCAGATTCCCAGTTTGCAGTGCTTGGGGGGTAGCTCTGTCTGCTGGTCTGGTTCTCGCTGCTCATGCTGGAATGGGTTTTGCAACTTCCAGCTGTCATGGCCAGACACAGGGATGCTGCTTTGTCCTTGTAGGGGAGAAAGTGCTCAGACAATAAGTCACTGAAGTTGTGGAGGTGGGGGGGTCCTCTAATTGTCTTTGAGGAATCCTTTTCCATGTGATCTGTCCTACAGAGAGAGTGTCCTTTCATTAGTAGCTTTGCATAATAGTGCTAATTTTGACTGCTTTCTGAATAAAAAGTGTTATTTACCCTGGTAGCTCCAGGGTTCTGCTTTCATTGCTGCTGGTAGTGAGGAGGCACTGCCGCCTCTCTGAGTAAAACAATTTTTCGCTGGGGAGAGCTCTCTTTTCCTTGGGGTGATTGAAGGTGCACTGTCTCCTTCAGGCACAGGCAGCCTCCCAAGACAGATTAGAACAAATCAGAGCCAGTCATCATGCTTCACTGAGAAACCAGCTAAAAGACAGAATTAGAGATCTTGAATGTGAACTGGACAGGATAAAAAATACCCAGCAAGACAGTACTTTTCAAAAAGAATCCGTGCAGGCAGAGGTGGAAAAGTACAAAGAGCTCTATCTGGAGGAAGTGAAAACCAGAAAAAGCCTGGCAAAGAAACTGGAAAGGTAAGTCCATGCTTTTTTGGAGTGGTAATAACAGACTGCTTTTTCCTCGTGCATTTTCCTTCTACAATCCCTTTTCTACATCTGGCCAGCATGATAGGTCAAAGCATAACAGGACATATTTGTGGGGAAAGTATCCCAAGACCTTTCCCTTCGTCAGACCTGTCTTCCTTTCTCTTTAGAGTGCCAGCAGTAACACCACAGGAGCACCATGATGGCATTATGGGTGTCTTTTTCAAGCCAATGTTGTTTTAACAGGCAGTCTTTTTGCCAGTCTCTAATCTGCTTGTCTGCTTGTTTTACGTGTGACACAAAAGATGAATCTTGTGCCCTTTA